CCTGCTGTTTGTTAATCCAACCTCCATCGTGACGCAGGGATTACCTCACCCTGCGTCGCACATGTTTGTGGTTAAACACCGCAAACACACACTCCACACAGGAGGTCGCAGAGAAAAGGCCGAGGGTCTTCACGACTGAATATACGTGAGAGGGATAAACAGAAGTGGAAACAGAAGTGGAAACAGAAGTGGAAACAGAAGTGGAAACAGAAGTGGAACTGTTTGGTTTGTACGTAGTCGTAGAAGAAGAACGATGTTCTACGTTTGTTCGTTTTTTTTCTCTCCGTATCCTGACAAAGAGCAGGAACTGGAGTGTTGTCAGTGAACGTGGCGGGTGCAGAGCAGGAGCGCCGCTCTGTTACACATTAGTGCTGCTAACAGAGAGTGCACTGACACGTCTGCAGGGCTTGTCAGTGACGAGAGCAGGATTCTCCAAACCTGGCTTTTGATCACACCTCACCATCTCCATCACCTCCAGTGAAGTCAAAATATTCAGGGCGAGTGTCAGAACCGTAACTGTCCCACGTGCTCTGCCTGTCTGAAGGCTGAAGACTTTGAAGCAGCGTTAGTGTTAGTTCTCCTGGATTTAATTTTGTCCTTTTTATGTGTTTTTTTTTCTAGCTGCTTTTGAGGCTTTTTTTTTTTTTTTTTGAGAGCCAGAGGCATGAAATGCAAAAATGTTGTTTGTGTGACTGTCGGCGGCTTCTTCAGTGTGGCCGTGATTAAAAGGAGCAGTTTGAGTTGTAAGGGTTTTGTTCCATGTTGTCTGATCCTCTTTACCTCTGGGGCTGCGTTGACAACAGTTAGAAAAATGACATTTACATTTTATGTGAACCTTTTTTTTTTTTTGGTTTCTGAAAGTTATGAAAATGTGAAATTACGTCTTAACAAACACAGGAGCTGGACCTGAACTGGTCTTCCTGCTCAGCACATGTTCCAGGGTTCTCCACCAGGGTAAAGAACAGCGCTGTACAGTAAATAATACAGAACTCCAGGCTGGGCTTTGGGCACAAACTCAGCCGTATTTTTGTCAATAAATCCATTCACCTCTCGTGCCTTTTGTACTGGCGTCAGGACAAGTAAACGTCGCGGTCGAGCTGCACGCAGATGTACGTTTATTAAACCCTGTGTGTGTGTGTGTGTGTGTGTGTGTGTGTTCCTTGGAAAGAGAAACATCAACAAAATCAAAATTAGTGACGCACACTTAATATCAATTAAAGTTAAGTGGTCAGCGTACAGCAGAAAAGCGCAGTGCTAATCAGGTCATGCAGTTTGCACCGGCCTCACATTTTTTCCCACCGGCCTCAAACACATCGTTACCAGCCTCTGCGACGTGATTGGTTTGTATTTTCTGTCTTTTTTTTTAGTGCTTACATTTTCTTTCTGCATCCACTTAGGTTTGCATTTACCTTTCTCCTTCACCCCCCCTCTCCCTCCTCTCCCCCCCACCTCCCACAGAGTAGCTTCTACCTCCAGTTGTTGCGTTCTCAGCGTAGCACGTCATCATAATCAGCCACGCTCTCCAGATGCTGGAGTCATCAGCTAAGACCTCAACCAGATGTTGCTCCATGGTACCATGATGCAACGTGATTAATTCTCCTCCAACACTGACACAAACGCTAGCTAACCGCTCGCTAACATTATATTTTTTGAGGGCAGGATCTGCGGTCGCCGACTCTCTGACTTCAGCTCCACATGAAGGAGAATTACGTCAAACACTGTCTGTCGACCCTCGACTAATACCTGTATTTCCTCACGAGTATGTTGAAAAAATACCGCTTTCACTTCTCTTCCACCACACCCCACTACTCAGGAGTACTTGTTTTCTCCATGTATGTCTGTGTCGTACTGCAGTGTCGTACTGCAGTGTCGTACGATGTTGGATATTTACTGCTGAAAATGAAAAAGCGCGTGGAATAAACGCAGGTCGTTAAGGTCAGGTTAAGGTTGAAAAAAAAAAACGTTTTAACTTTTTAATTATATTTTGACAGGCGCAGCTTTTAGATGTCACTGTAAGAGGAAAAACATTGTGGTTAAAATTATCTCCGTTTGTGAGATTTAAATTAATTAAGTGATTCTTTAAGGTCTAAAGAGGAACATAAATGAAACGGAAAATCATTACAAACATCTGACATAATAGAAAAAGAACAAAAGAACGTGTTTAATTAAATTAACTGTGTGAAGTGAAAAACAATACAACAATCTGGTCAGGTTAAGGTTGGGATTTTTTTTGTTTTTTTTTTTTCAGCCTACACAATGTGCCTTCAACAATGGACCGTAGGACAATGGTGATTATCGGTTATTGTTCGGCTAATCTACTGTGAGAGAAACCACATTTTCCTCTGCAGAATTGAGCCGAGCCGAGTTGGCACACACATACGTGTGCGCACGGATGTGCACGCACATCTGCATCTCTGTCCAAACCATGTATCCCAGTTATTGGTTTGGCACCTCCTCCCCCTCCTCGCTGCCTTTTCCATCCCAGCCACTAAAGCGTTATAATAATCCAACTTCCTGTTTCTGAATGTCATTAACAGCACACGGGCCGCGTCCAAACAGGACCGCGTCCAAACAGGACCACGGCCAAACATCCAGGCCAGCGGCGTCGTCTCTCCAACGCTTCAATCTAAATCCATCCAACATTAAATCACCGCGGACGTCACTCTTGATTTTCTCTCTTTTTTTTTTTTTTTGTGAAGCTTGTACAAGGATGGTGACATGAGAAAAGTGTCTTTGAGATGGCTGCCAAGATGTTGCACCAGCTAAAAATATTCCCAACAGTCGGAGCCCCAGATATGTCACAACAACACACAACAACATGGCAAAATAAAATATTTGGCACTTTTGCCAATCCTCATGATCTCTGCTGCAAAATGAGTCCAATAAACCGGGCCGCAAGTAATAATTTACCAACAACAGACTCCACATTATTGCATTGTAGACTGTTTTTTTTGTTGTTTTTTTAATTGGAAACCTGAGAGAAAAAAATCACATCAATGTTGGACATAAAAAACAGTTCAGTTTGTGACGTGTTGAGGCTCAGATTCTGTGGTTGGTTAAAGAAAGATGACGAGTGAGAGGAGATGACAACGGCCAATAAAAAACCAGGAACGAACGGCTTTAATATCATATTATGAAAGTGACTCCTAAATAAAACCTTCCAACCCGAGACAGAAATAAAGTGTGATTAATGAGAGACAGCGGAGGAAACTGATGCCAACAACATGTGACACCTGAAGTCTGCCAAGTTTCTAAACTGGCTCACGTCTCAGAAGAGTCAAAAATGTCCGACGAGGAAATGTCAATTTGAAGATGAAGCTGAAAACAACACCTCGATCATCACAGGCTCCGTCAGAACACGGTGGTTTGATAACCACAGGACGGCACGGATTTGGCCCTGAACGGTGCAAACAAACTGAGCTAACAACCGCTCACTGTGCTGCGTCTTTTAAAGTTCAGCCAATGCAGGACTTTCTTAAAATAACAATAAAGAGAACAAAGAAATAATAAAAAATTAAAAGAATCACTGGTAAAATGTTTAAATGTCTTCTTCAGCTCAAAATCTATTTCAAATCAATTACTGTTTATGTGAAGCAGAAGAAAAGCCATTTATAATTGTCCTTAATGTAAAAATTAAATTAAAAAAAATCTCCAAATTATTTTGGTTTTCCTTCCATTTGATTGGTGACCTTATTGTCGCAGCTGTGCAGAGAAATCTGTCAAAATGCTGCACTCAAACGCCACTGCTGCAAATTAAATTTCACTAACGATGGAACAGGTTGAAGACAGTTAAATTATAAACTTCACGTCTTAAAAGCTGACGTGTGACAGATTCTTGGCAGAACTCCCACACAACTCCGACGACGTCAGGTATCACAAAGTTGGACGCAACGTTCAATACTTCAGATTTTTTTTTTCTCTGTCTAGGTTTATGTTAATTGCTTAATTACCATTCTAACTTCCTGTACCAAATGTGCAGAGTGGAGAACCAGGCCAGCGGCGTCGTCTCTCCAACGCTTCAATCTAAATCCATCCAACATTAAATCACCGCGGACGTCACTCTTGATTTTCTCTCTCTTTTTTTTTTTTCCTGTGAAGCTTGTACAAGGATGGTGACATGAGAAAAGTGTCTTTGAGATGGCTGCCAAGATGTTGCACCAGCTAAAAATATTCCCAACAGTCGGAGCCCCAGATATGTCACAACAACACACAACAACATGGCAAAATAAAATATTTGGCACTTTTGCCAATCCTCATGATCTCTGCCGCAAAATGAGTCCAATAAACCGGGCCGCAAGTAATAATTTACCAACAACAGACTCCACATTATTGCATTGTAGACTGTTTTTTTTGTTGTTTTTTTAATTGGAAACCTGAGAGAAAAAAATCACATCAATGTTGGACATAAAAAACAGTTCAGTCTGTGATGTGTTGAGGCTCAGATTCTGTGGTTGGTTAAAGAAAGATGACGAGTGAGAGGAGATGACAACGGCCAATAAAAAACCAGGAACGAACGGCTTTAATATCATATTATGAAAGTGACTCCTAAATAAAACCTTCCAACCCGAGACAGAAATAAAGTGTGATTAATGAGAGACAGCGGAGGAAACTGATGCCAACAACATGTGACACCTGAAGTCTGCCAAGTTTCTAAACTGGCTCACGTCTCAGAAGAGTCAAAAATGTCCGACGAGGAAATGTCAATTTGAAGATGAAGCTGAAAACAACACCTCGATCATCACAGGCTCCGTCAGAACACGGTGACGACGGTGACGGTGGTTTGATAACCACAGGACGGCACGGATTTGGCCCTGAACGGTGCAAACAAACTGAGCTAACAACCGCTCACTGTGCTGCGTCTTTTAAAGTTCAGCCAATGCAGGACTTTCTTAAAATAACAATAAAGAGAACAAAGAAATTAAAAAAATAAAAAGAATCACTGGTAAAATGTTTAAATGTCTTCTTCAGCTCAAAATCTATTTCAAATCAATTACTGTTTATGTGAAGCAGAAGAAAAGCCATTTATAATTGTCCTTAATGTAAAAATTAAATTAAAAAAAATCTCCAAATTATTTTGGTTTTCCTTCCATTTGATTGGTGACCTTATTGTCGCAGCTGTGCAGAGAAATCTGTCAAAATGCTGCACTCAAACGCCACTGCTGCAAATTAAATTTCACTAACGATGGAACAGGTTGAAGACAGTTAAATTATAAACTTCACGTCTTAAAAGCTGACGTGTGACAGATTCTTGGCAGAACTCCCACACAACTCCGACGACGTCAGGTATCACAAAGTTGGACGCAACGTTCAATACTTCAGATTTTTTTTTTCTCTGTCTAGGTTTATGTTAATTGCTTAATTACCATTCTAACTTCCTGTACCAAATGTGCAGAGTGGAGAAGAGAAAGGCAGGGGGCGGTAGAGGGGCAGGTGGAGGATGGCACGCCAAATAGGTTTAGAGTGGCACTGGCACTCAACTTAATGGATCAAGAGAATCTGCTTCAGCAGCGATTCAACCGGTACATCACACAGAGCCACGCTGGCAACGGAGCCGCGCACCGCCGACCTGTGCCAACGTCAGCCCCGAGAGCGATTACACAGAAGAGTTTATCTCTATTACAAACGCTGCCAAACCATCGCTGCGCACTCCATCCCGCCTTCGGCAGAACGGCGTTCAGCGACTGGAGCGAAGTGATGTCGGCTGAACGGAAACAAACGTATGAACGCCGGCTGATCCTTTCAACTGTTCTGGAACTATTCTGTCACGAGATGGTTTCTCTTCTTCTGCCGATACCTGGGGAAAATTTATAAC